CTTCCTCCAGCACAATGAGTAACCCCTCCCAAATACCATGCCCTCCCTCCCCGTTTCATGGCAGCCAAAGCAACAGCAAAGCAGAGGCTGACAGCTGATTAGGTGACTTTGAGCCAGTCCAAAGGAGGCAATGCAAACCCCTTTTAAAAACGAGGCCAAAAAAAGGGGGCAGAGAGTTCCAGGAGTCAGAAGAAACTCAAAGCCTCTCAAACCAAATCTCACCACCCAGTCACATCTGGTGTTGGCAGTTCCGAGGCAGCTTAAAAATAGCTTCAAAATCCATTGATAAAATCACATGAACCAAATACGAATCTTGGATATGAGGGAAGAGCTGGAATGCTGGGCCACTTTCGAGCTGCCCTGGGCTGCCCACCAGAATCGGCATCAGGAGCTGCCCTGGCCAAACTGCCACAGCTGCTCATCCTGACATGCCGCCCTCTGTTGCTCTCCTAGGGCTGCCTCAAGGAGAAGATGCTGAAGGACCTGGAGAAGTATGTGGTGAAAGATGTGAGTGCCGCTTAGCCAGGAGAGGATGCCCATTTTCAGCCCCTGAAATCCCACCCTGGTCGGCTTCCTCTTGGAGTCACTCAGGCCACTGATCTGCGTCTTGCTTCCGTCTCCTTTCCTACAGCCCCGTATTCCTCTCCTGCTGAGCCGCATGAAGGACGCAGGGAAAATGTTTCTTGCCACCAACAGCGACTACAGTTACACAGATGTAAGTCGGACCTTCGGAGAGTAGGTGAGGCAGGACCTGCTTTCCTCCGTGCTCGGTGGCAGTGCCAGACTGACCTTTTTCTTAAAAAGAGTTTTATTGCAATTTTCCTTCCCCCCATCATACATATTTTATGGATAAAGTACTGGGTCACGGTTTATCCCTCTCATTTATAATCATAATTCAGTATATTCTGGTTTCCCACTTCCATTAATATTCATCTCTTTTATATAATTTTCTTCCTGCCCATGAATTCATTTAAGCTTACCTATCATTGCTAAACACCTAATCTTTACAAATTAATCATTTTTAACCATAGTTTTACTATGCCAACTTCAATCATATTATTCTCTTTACATATTTCTCTATCTTTTTTCATTTAATTTTATACATCGTCAATAACACTATATGCCCTATATTTCATCTTTTTTTAAAAACAATTTTTACATATGTTTACCCTATTTCTTCTCCCGCCCTCCCAAAAAAATCTCATGAATTCCCCTTTCCCAATCGCTAATATTTTAAAATTCCCAACCTTGTTCAAATTACATTCAAAATTAGTAATATTATCAAATTATCTACTTTCACATTTCCATCTGCTGGTCTAACTTTTCATATCTCTATACTAGTATTTACCCAGGCTGGCCACTTGGCTGGCTGGCCTTGCAGGTGCTCAGGGGCACGGATGGTTTGGTGGGAGGCGGCCAGTGGCAGGGAGATGCGAGGAAGAGACCCTAACGGCTTTCCATCCTTGTCTTCTGCCTGACGAGGCCGTTGAATCTGGGCGGGATTTTCACGGCAGAAGAGAGTAGCCCTTGCCTTATTATCTCTTTCCAGGCGATCATGACATACTTGCTTGACTTCAGAGAAGGGAACACGGTAAGTCAACCTGAGAGATGTTCCAGGCCCAGGTGGCCATTAGCAGCCACATCTGGAGGGGACAATTCAGGTGGGTTGCCGCCTGCAGCAAGGTAGCTGGGCTGGGAAGAGGCCCTCCTGCCAGACAGTAGGGTTAGGGTTAGGGTTGGGGCTGCCCTTCCTTGTTTGGCTCCATGGGAAACAGTTGCTGTTAAGTCCCATGTGCTCTAGTGATTTAAAGCTTCCAATGTAAGTCCTCCACGTCCTGGTTGTCCCAAAAGTGCTTTTTCAGGAGGCAACTGGACTTTCTTGGTTTTTCTTTTGAAGACATTTCGCTTCTCATCCAGAAGTGAAACTTCTTCAAAAGGAAAACCAAGAAAATCCAGTTGCCTCCTGAAAAAGCACCTTTGGGACAATGATACCAAAAGTTGTCCAGAGGTCTAAGAAGACCAGGAAGGACTCTGGCTGGATGGTGGGGAATGGAAGGATTGATACTCCTTGCAGACAGATGGTTGTTTGCATCCTTTTAGAGGGTCGTTGAGGCCACTTGGGGCTTTACCTGTGTCCTCGAGGTCACCTGAATGGTGCAAATGGTTCCTATAGTGTGCACTTTTTCTGGAAATCTGTTCATACTCTGTTCATAATCCTTCCATTCCCCACCATCCAGTCAGAGCTGAAGAAGCTTCTTGGAGGAGAAGCGAAATGTCTTCAAATAAAAAACAAGAAAGTCCAGTTGCCTCTTGAAAAAAGCACCTTTGGGACTTCCAATGTAAGGCAGCACTTACTAAAGTCTATATAACGGGGTCTGTAACTGAAGAGGAAGAGAGAGGGGGGAGGGATGGATGCATGGATGCATGGATGCAGTCATTGTGAGCTTGTTGTGACTAGTACGAAACCTTCAGGACTTTCCAGATTGCCAAGTAGCCTAACATGTTCCCTTTCTAACACCAGGTCAAATCCCAGCATCGACCGTGGCGCTCGTACTTTGATCTGATTGTTGTCGACACTCGCAAGCCCCTCTTTTTTGCTGAAGGAACTGTGCTGCGGCAAGTCAATACAGTACGTGCCCCTCAGGGCCAAAGACAGGGAGGTTGGCGGGGAAAATCTAGGATGAACTTCATGGAAACAGGGAAGGATTCATAGTCATCCTGCTTTTNAGAGGTATACCCTCTGGCCTACGTGGAAAGGTCCTTGCACCCTCCGCCTTTTATCAAGAGAGCTGGTAACAAGGGGGGGGGGGTCGCTGAGAAGAGATTTTCTGGATCCTTTTAGCCGTTCAGCAGGCAGTTTGGGACCAAAGTCTGTCATGTGGGCTTTTGCTACAATCTGCGTTCCCATCTCATCAATGACTTTTCCTTTTTTTTCTACTTTTAGGAGTGAAATCTGGAATTACTACCCAAATAAATTCATCCAGAGAGACGACACGAAACGTTTCCACATTCTGAACACTTTGTTTAACTTGACAGGTATTTGCAAAGGGAGAGCTGGGAAGAGGGAGGAAGGGTCAGCCTCAGGCCAGGGCACTGCCTGTCCCAAAGGGGGGGCTTAATCTGGCCACTCCTTGGTTGGCAGGAATCTCGGCCACGGCTGCCTCTTAGTGGCTGTGGAAGTGGAATGCAAACAAACCACCCACCAGGTTTCCACACTTTCCAAAAGCTGCTTTGCAGACTGGCAGGGGGGAGGGGGAGGGAGAGAGAAAACGGCTCCACGCGAGTGGCAGGGGTGCACACATGCAACTCCACTTGCATTGAGCGGTGGGCACTTGGGTGCAGGTGTGAAGCGTCATTTGTGTGAGTTGCAGCCATTTTTTTTACTCATATATATACACACATTTCACAAATATACATGTCTTATAGATATTATTAGTGTTATACATTATCCTTTAACATGATTCCATTCTTTCCCTAAAGATATAAGAATATATTTGAGATTGCTTTCCTGCCATCACGTACATCCATCTTATAACAATCCTACTTTTTCTCTGTCTTTCTCCTACCCTCCCTTCTTCTCTACTTTCTTCTTTCCTCCTCTCTTTTCTTCTTCCCCCTCCTCTCCCCTACTCCTCCCTTTTTCCTTCCCTCTCTCCTACCGCTCCCTCCCTTCCTCTCCTTTGCTCTTTCTTCTTTCCCTCTCCTTGCCTCTCTTCTAAAGCATTTTGTACTTACAGTGGTACCTAGGTACTCGTCCAGGAGGCACACTGAGTACCCCAAAACAATTTTTTTCTCATAAGGAATAGTGTAGTGACTCACAAGGCAATTGACACTGACAAGATCTAGCTTGTGCATTGAGTACTAAACAAACTATGAGTATCGGGACAAAAATGTTGGCATCAAAATGCANCAATCTGTAATTTCAAGCCAATATTTCCTGGCGTGGGGGCATGCCCAACACATGTGATAGAACGTTCCAGATTTATGTCTGCATCTCCAACATTCAGGAGATAGGTTTTAATTTTTGAGATGACCAATGCAAGCAAGCGCCAAGGGCACAAAGCTGACTTGGAAACTGCTGGTCTTTTTACCTTGTCTACATTTCCTTTGGGCTTTGTGACACAAAGGTGAGCCAGGAATGGGAAGGGACTCTGCTCTTTTCTGCTGCAGTGTACACATCCCCAGACTATGAGGAGCTGACCTTTGAGCTGCTGCTGGAGCGACTGGTGTCCATTGGGTATCCACCCGAAGTTCTGGAATACAAGTACGACCCTGCCTTCCCTACCAGGTAACAAAACACCTGGTTATTTAACCCTCCCAAATCCAGCTGCTGTTGGAGACTTTGATGCTGGATTTGAATTGTGGGGAGGGGGCCAACCCAGCTGATCTTGTCTTTCCATACTTCAGGGGGCTGATCTTTGATGCCCGGTACGGGAACTTGCTGAAGGTGGACTCCCATGGCAATCTGTTGGCGTGTGCGCATGGCTTCCATTTCCTCAAGGGGTAGGGGTCTCCTCTTTCCACTTCCGACTGCAGAGACCCAGCCTGGAGCTCAAGAGAAAAGGCCCAGGGTCCCTGCTAATGAGCCAGGTGTACCAAAGACCCCCACTCTCAGGTTCCGAAGGATTAACGAAAACAGCCAAACACAGAGATGGTTTGAAAGTGTTTTATCTTCTTCCTACGGCAGGAACTGACCAGCAAAGCACTAAGGCAATGAATACATTGTCAGAACTGCCACCCTGTGCTTCCCACCACCTTTTATAGTTACATTGGTAATTAAGATAAACTGCACCCCACACGTGCACATACCCATCACCTTGTGACCCAGAGTGAAAACCACCCGGCAATTAATCATGGATTGTTAGCAGGAGCTTTGTAATTTCTTCAGCTAGACAGCTTGTGGAGGGGAGAAGGTGAGTCTTGGCAGCTGGCCCAGTTTCCTCCCCTGGATGGCAGCGCCAGGCCTCTGAGCAGGCCAGAGCTGACATGCGGCCCCCTACCACAGAGACAACATCTGGGGAGCTACGAATTACAGTTAGTTAGGAGTTGAAGGACCCCTTTCCCCTGGTTTTGTGGGATGTCTGCGGTGGAATCTCGCTACCAGGTGGCGTGCCCTACAGT